CGTTGGAGACGAGCGAGTCGTCGTGCGTGGCGCCGTCCGGGGACTCGCGACCCGCCGTTGCGCTCACACCCGTCACCGCCGCCCACATGTGGCTCGAGCAGAACAGCTTGAGAAACAGCCGCTTGAACTTCTCGCCGAAGATGACGTAGATGATGAAGTTGACGGACGAGTTGATCGTAATGAGAAGGTTGGACGTTTTCACCAGCTGGTCGATGGTGCCGCAGTAGAACACCTCCATGACGTTGTTGACGAGCGCCAGCAGGTTGCAGAGGAAGAAGACGACTACGACGCACAGCAGCATGGTGGCCAGACCGATTTCCTTCTTCTGGAGCCGCGACAGCCGCTGCCGCTCCTTGTTGGCCCGTCGCACCTGCGCATGCGCCGTGCGGCAAGTCAAAGCGAGGGGTTGCCATAACTAGATGATGTTACTAATTAGAATGGAGTCTGTGATATATTCGTTCAACATTCATTAGTCGGTATAAAAGTTAACCGTACCATTATTCTACATCTTTAAAGTCATATCTATTCTATTATTTGTATTAAAAAATTCGCTTAAGTCCAGGAGTTTAGGTGTACTATATTACCGGTTATTTTGTTTTCATGTACGTTATAGAACACAAAAAATTCGCAGGGAAAATGTATCTCTGGCCCTAATTTTAAACAAATATATTTTGGGGCCAGTGAAGGGGGGCATTTTGGGATTTGTTTGATGACTGAGAATTATTCTAATGTATAGGCAATCAGCGTAGCGCAAGTGTGTATTGACTGAGAGGGTTGCCTATATGTCCCTGATATTCCTTGCTGTGGGATTCTTGCCAGCATGTCAATTGCAATATACTGCGTTTTATGTGTTATGATGTAACACTATTGTTTTTCACTTTCCCGTATAGTGCGTATATACGAAGTATTATAAGTCATATAGGGAAAGTTATGTAATGATGCAGAAAATCGATTTTGATACATACGGAAATGCACCTTTTGGGGCCCCTTGATTTTTAAAACGTCTGTCTCTCAAGCTGTCCGTCCGTCTGTCAACACTACCAGCGCCTAAATAATTCGCAGGATTTTTACCAAATTAAAGAAACATCTGAATCGAGTCAAAGTTTTGAAATCTTGAAAAAAAACTTTAAAATTTAGTACATTTTCAAATTTTTCATAAAAAAGACTCCAATTTGTTTTTTGTGTGAGAAGAGAGTAAAATACACATATAAAGATGGCATAGGTCCTATATACATGTTTAACTCTGAATTTTCGCAAATTTCAAAAGTATGAATTTTTTAGTTGTCTTCCTACAACTACAAAATTGAAGATAGAGTTTTCCTTCAAATAATCTTATTTCGATTGTCAGTTATTTCATTAAGATCATGTACCTTTTTTGTAAATTTTGGTAGTTTTCGCGCAATAGTGCGAGAAATATGTGTATTTTTTTAGAAAAATTACAATAACAAGATTTTCTTTAAAACGGCTCCATATTTTTCTGTAAATTTTTGGTAGAGATAAACCTAAAGAACTCTATGGAATGATTTAAACGCCTAAATTCTTTATCTAATCTTTTGTTTTTTCAAAAATTAAAACAAAATTATATTTAAAAATTAATTTTTTAATTGTCTCTTCCGTCGTTAATATTTATACTATTGGCAATTTGTTCATATTATTGTATTTATTAGTACATATGTTTGAAATAATATCAGATAAAGTTTGTCGAAAACGCAACAATTTTCTATGAAAACTAGTTCAAAATTCCGCATTTTTAGAAACGCTGAAACGCCATTTTCTATAAATAAGCTCCAATTTTTTTAAACATTTTGAATGGGTGGAGCTAATTAAAATCGTTAAAATGTCTAAATTTCTTTTCGAGGTATTTTTGGATTTGATAAAAATACACAAATGTATTTTTGTCGAAAGATCTCTCACACCGTTAATATGCACATTTCCAGCAATTTATAAACACTATTGCATTTGTCAGAAGTACTTTAAATGACTTCATGTGAAGTTTTTCGAAAACTCAGAAATTTTCTGTGAAAAAAGAGAATCAAAATTCGAATTTACAGTTGCGCTAAAGCGCCATTTTCTTAAAACGGGCTCCTAATTTTTGAAAGAAAATTGCTATTTAGAACGAGATTTTACTGTTCTTTAATATTCTTAAAATAATATTTTACGCCTTGAAAAATTAAGAAAATTTCAAAACGGTGGGCGGCGATAGATGGCAACTGACAAGAGATTAGGGCAAGTCCGAATGGTTAGCCGACACCAAAGGAAATAGAAGAAAGGAAAAGTTTGTGCCATTCTGTAGGACCACTAGTTATTATTGTTGATAATAGCTCTTTATTCAAAGTTATTGAGCTGGATTGTTGCAATTCGTTTTACGTCGATGTGCAATCTATTCTAAGGACTTCCTTTCGACTCCACGTGTTTCTGTCGCTCCTGCCCATTTCTTCCTCGCCGAGAATGAAGACCGCCTTAGATCTGGCGCCTTAGCTGTTACAGGTGCTTGTGAAAGGCCGGCGAATTACCTTCAGTCTTTAAATGTATAATATTCTAGCCATTTTCACAACGAGAAGTAATATATGCGAGAATCCTACGGTTAGTTGTCATGTTGACAATTTAGAGACTCAAAATTATTTTAGCACTTGGATGACCGGCACAAGCCGCGTCACAGTTCTCGAGCTGACGTTTGGCCATCATGTTGTGGCCTTTAGTACTATAGCACTGAACAATACTGCAATACAACTGAGAAGAAGGTCACAAGAAGATGACCGAAACGTCTGCTTGAACGACTGTGACGCGGCTCATACCGGTCAGCCAAAAACCAAATGTCTCTGGCTGTAGAAACCTACGGATCTACATCAGAATTAAAGTTTTTGCAACACCTAGAAGGAATTATTAGAAATACTTAAAAATCGGTGTATGCATAGAAAAACAGTGTACCCATTAGAAATGATTAAATTTGCATAGATAGCGTGCACGTTGACTTAGCAGCATCCTCCTTTATATGATATCCGTGTTACGCCACATCCTCCTTTATATCATGTCCGTGTTACGCCACATTCTGTTGGTGTAGAGCCGTCAAACGACGTGGAAACGTGCAAGCAACTGCCGGAATGCCTCGCCGACGCCAAAGACCGCAATATCAGTGAAGGATATTGGAGTGAGTTTGAACGGAGGGGAGTAGAATGATCGGTATTCTGAAATCGAATTTGTCATACCGTGACCATGCGGCTCGAACGCGGGTGCAGCAACAGTGATGCGTGTGTGGATTGCGGATAGAGTCCAGTAGATAGAGGAGGGTCGTACACAGCAACGAGCGGTTACACGACTACACACTACCACATCGTGAGATGACCGCCCTCTACCCCGTATGGTTGTAACTGACAGTACATAGTGGACCACAGTGTTGGCCCGACTTTAAATCACTACAGCGGGTCTGGTCATATCTGCGTCGACGGTTAGATGCCGTCTTCTGAGACCTGGACTGGTGGCACGTTACGTTTATCAGAAACACCAACGCCTGAGTACAAGCAATGGGCACGTGAATTAGTACAACTGGTAGATGCTGAGTGATGAAATAGTAAATATTGATTCTCGGACGAGTCCCGCTTCTGAATTTGAATTAAGCAGCGATGGCCGCGTATGTGTTCGATGCTCTTCGTGGGTGATTCCTGGCCTGTCGCGGGTGACGCACGCGTCCGGTCGACGTTGAGTTGCCGACGTTTCGACATTCCTGCTCGTGGTCTTCCTCAGCTCGCTGGATATGGCGCCGTGAATGGTCAGCGCTTCGTTTCGGTATATTCAAGTTAGCCTGGTACTAATTGCGCTGCAAGCAGCGGCCAATCCGGAGCACGCCAGTTAGCAGCGCGCGGGGGGGGAGGGGTCAAATCGAGGATGATCGCCGGCGTGGCGCGTGAACGGGACGGCGCGGAAAGCTCTCCGTAAGCGCGGGTCGGAGTGGCCCGGGGATCGGACGGCCGCGAGCCGTGTCCGGATTGGCCCGCATGGCGCGGCCCTGGGGGCCCGTTGCGGAACGCCCGTATGAAGCGCGTCCGGTTCGGGTGCAGCAACCAGTAGATACGCGTGCCCGAAGCGCTATCCAGCTGTGGCTGAAGCTACCGGCAGGACCGTGACGACCGACGCTACCACCGAGGAAACAGGACAGATGGTCGAAACGTGGCACTCAGCCTCGCGCCGGCGTACCGGACAGACCCAGATCACCCACCTGACTCTGGCCGCGAGCATCGACTTCCATCGATGCTACGTGTGGTGATCGCAAATCTGCGAGCAGCATTGTCGCGACATAGCGGACAAACGCCATATGTTGTGCTGGTTTTAGGGCAGCACCAGCGCAACAATGTGCGATCTTCGCCTCATACGAGTATAAAGCAATTGAAGCAGCACATGCTGCATCAAGAAGGTTTTAGAGCCCAAGGTACTGCCTCTTCTCCAAGTAGCTCCACATGCCATATTTGAGCAGGACAATGTACGATCTCATGTGGCGAGGAATATGAAGAACTACTGGTACAACTGTTCCCGGGCCCGCTCGTTCATCTAACATATCTTACCCATCGAACATGTCTGAGATATGATCGGTTGTCAACTTGTCGGTTCTGATCCTCTTGCAGCCACTGACGCTGCATTGTGGACACGCGCAGTAACCGCATGATGGTGTGTTCCCCAGCTACATATCTAGACTCTCTTTGTTTCCAGGCCCCGACGTCTTGCGGCTCCGATGGCAGCGCATGGCGGCTTCACAAAGTACTTACTTCTCAAGGTCTATAAAGGTACAGTTATGTTAGTGTAATCATTTGTATATTGTGATATTCCTAATCTGTGGAATAAATTTCGTTGTGATTGTATTCTTGTAATAATAATTATAATATAATAATAATACTAATTATAATTGGAATATAATTCTTGGAGTGGCAGTTTTGCAACCACCTGTATATAATTCTTTCCTTTCATATTTTAGTCTACTACTGTGTGTTACTGCTCTGTTACAAGTACATCTATACCATGTTAATGTTGATGGTTTGGCTATTCTAAAAATGATTTCTATAATTTTGTTTGATTGGAAATTAATTTTAATCCGTTGACATTTTCCCAACCTCTTCCCGTAAATTACTGTAACATACACTATTTGATCAAAAGTATCCGGTCACGTGCATGAAAATGAATTATCATTTCGTGGCGCTCTCCATTGGTAATGCTGGAATTCAGTAGTGTTGGCCCACCCTTAGCCTTGATGACACTTTCCAATCTCATACTTTCAATCAGGTGCTGGAAGGTTTCTTGGTGAATGGCAGCCCATTTTTCACGGAGTGTTGCACTGAAGAGAGGTATCGATGTAGGTCGGTGAGGCCTGGCACGAAGCCGGCGTTTAAAAACATCCTAAAGGAATTTGTTAAGATTCACGTCAGGACTCTGTGCAGGCCAGTCTGCGTAGTCAGCGTAGGTCTGTGCCACACAAAACAACAATGGGTGTATATCCCATCCGTGAAAAACACGACCTCACCAAAACACCATTTTGGACGTGTCCGGATACTTTTGACCACATAGTATAGAATATTAGGTATTTAAATAAAGGAAATAATTAATTTGAATTGTTCCAAAGAGGTTTTAATTAATTCGTATATCTAATACGTTGTATAGTTATTAACGTGAGTGTACTTTTTGGCTGGAGGTCATTCTGAGATCTGCGTGAAACCATAAAAATGTGAAGGTAATGGTCGTTGACTATTAAAAATTAATGGGCTTATGAATGATGAGTACGGTAATATAAAACACGTACCCGTGTTGAATTTTATTCTTGCGACCGATAACTATACACGCATACGTGTTTTCGAAGTTTCAGTCACAAACATTTTCAAAGAACAAACTCAGTCATTTTCATATTTAAGAGAAAAAACGTGACAATTTTTAAAGAAAATATAACAAAAGATTGCAGAATGTATGAGAAATCGAACAAATCCAATTCACGTTTTGATTCCTGTGAATCTTAATGTTCCAAAGATAAGTTAATAATTCATCGTGTGCAGAACAGCCTTTTCTTCAAGCATGGCGTTGCCATGCCATTCTTCAACTTTTGTAGATCGCGGAATTGAAAACGGCGAGCACCGTGAAGAGAAGGAAATAGAGGAGCGACATGTAGAACCTCACCTTATGTGGCGATGCCATGACATACTTTACCTGTCGGTAGATGGCGGTGTTGAGCACTGCGAGCACCGTGAAGGGAAGGAAGTAGAGCAGCGCCATATAGAGCCAGTTGATGTAGACGGTGACGTAGAGGTGGTTGCGTCGCAGAGCCGTCGGCACCACCTCCATCACCGTAGTATTGCGTTCGTCGTCCCACTGCACGTCGATCTCAGCCTAAGACACACGAAAGTAGACGTGCACACTACGTGTTACATATACTCATGGGTAAGATCTGCGTGAGTTAATGTGACGAAATTCCAGCTATTTATTCCTTTTTACTTGTTTAAGGTTACTTTTCAAATGCCAAGGTCATACAGCGATCACTGTGGTTTTGTAACTGTGAGGGTACGGTAGCGAAACACACATATGGACACACAAACATCCACGCCCGGTCGGAATTTGAATCCGTGACCTTTCAAGACAAGTCAACTACGGGTCTTCAGCCTTCACGACCACGGCTATCCAGGACGGTGTTGAGTATTTTTGGTTTTTCGACTTCGTCTTCAGAGTTATTTGGTGTAATGCTTCGTCTATACAAATAAATTGAATTACAAAACAAATTTCTTTGAAAATTATTAAAAGCAGAATTGTTTATTTTCAACTAACAAATTCATAGAGAACTCCAAGTTGCTGCAATTAAATAAGTTCTAATATACCCATTTTTAACTTATTAGAATTTTTCTATTATCTTTTGCTTCAAAACATTTAAATTTAATATGAAACTAAATTTATATCGAATCAAATCTCTAGTTTACATACTTATTATACAAGTGTACATATTTTATCATTTATAAGCACACACAACTACACTTTAATTATACTCACACACATGGTACATTAATCATAATAAACTTCACCAATAAATGTTAATACAAAAAACGAACACATTACTAATTTAAAATACACAAAACCATTATTTGTTATTGTAATAAAAATAATTCAAAATGAAGATACCTTTCTATACCTCTTTGAATGTCAAATATACAAAAAAGTTTTAAGAACGCGATAAAGAGTAAATTTGTGACGACACACATTCATTATACTTTGGAAATAACCGCTAGCAACTTGTCAAATATACGAGTATTATGTATGTATTTTCTAATTGACACCTCTGAAAAATTGTATTACTATTGAGCAGGAAGAACAAAAAGATACTTGTTAAGAATGTAGTTTTCATAAAGAGAATTTGAGAAAAAATAGTGATACTTTTAGTTTTCAAATTAAAATGTGTCAAGATAATTGAAAAACAAAAATGTTTACTTGATAACGGCTCTGGAAAAAAAGACTGAAGATTCGTTGACAAGAGTTTTTGGGTTCAGCTTCAGTTGATCGCAGAGTTTTCAACTTCAGATGGTTCGCAACCTTCTGGTGTTGAGTGACAAATTTAGATGGACATTGCTTTTCTCGATGTATTTCAGAAGGAAGCGGGAGGAGAGATCGTGGATCATGCACCTGACCCTTCCATTCCATGTGAACAGAACTTTTTCTTGTTTTGAATGTGAAATATACAATTTATTTTAAGAACGCAATAAAGAGTAAATTGACGACAGTCATTATACTTTGAAAAATAATTACCTAAAAAGGAGAAATTATGTCCATCAATATTATCTTTCAACGAAAATTTCATGTAAATATGTTTAGCTTATCCCTAGATTAACGCACAAATATTGTAAAAATAATTAAATGAAATTATACATCATATAAATAACCGCATGAGCTTAAAAATAATATTTTGACTTCAATTTTTCGAAATGGGTTAAACATTAAAATGTTCGTGCAAATGTTATAGGTAGATGCATGTGGCGTGCAAGCATTTTGTTTTTGAAAAGCAGCTACACAAAGAGGACTAGTTGAACTCGTCTGGAATGCTCTGTGTAATGAATAGTGATAAAAAACATTCGGCTAAAGGAAGCTGATCGAAATTTAAAATAATTTCTTGAGACCGGCCCCGAATGCATGGCGTGGTGTGGCGTGGCAAGGCGAGGCGTTGCGAGGCGTTGCTTAGGGTGTCGCAGGGCGGGGCGGGTCGACACAATGTAGGGTAGTCAGAGCGTAAGTTCCAGAGGCAATAGGTTGTAGAGCGCCGAGAGCGCGGTGAAGTCGCGCACGTATAGGCGCGCGGACTGGAGGTGAAGTTTAGAGGGGAGCGTGAGGTTGGGCGGGGCGGGGCGGTGCGTACCTCCCAGAAGCGCGGCAGGTTGTAGAGCGCCGAGAGCGCGATGATAACGAGCACGTAGAGGCGCGCGCGGCCGTAGGTGCAAAGAGAGCGCGCGCGCAGGGGGTGGCACACCGCCACGAACCGCTCCAGTGTCACCGTCAGCGTCAGGTACACGGACACCGTCTGCGAGATGAGGGCCAGCGGGTACACCACCGGCACCAGGTGCGGGTACACCTGCCACCCACAAACACACACAAATGCAAAAGATTATTTACAGGAACACTCTTAGGTACAGGTCAAAGAGGATCAGTTTTGACAATGGACGTAAAATGGGAAATTATTATTAATGACAAAATACTATGGAGACAGGCATGAAAAAATTAGATGATTTTTTAAAATATGAATCATTACGTATTCTTGTCTATTTTTCGTCTCAATAGTTTAGAGCCATTGCAAATATTTGATAGTAATCATCAGAAATGCCCTTTCGACGATTGGGTCTATTTGATACCGTTATGAAGCAATAAGGATTACTAATAATTTTTAACAAATCCCGATGTGGGCTCCAATCTATTAGACTAAAACGCTGAAAGGACAGCACATATTGAGTAATATATTTTTATACTGCCATTGAATAATTTAATGGCTTCAACTAATTGCATATTGTTACTTTTTACGATACACATTTCATTATGATGCAGATTATTGATCAACCACCGAGAAATTTTCACACCTAGTATTGACAATTATTCATTGAGATTCTATTTAGTAAATGTTTCGTTTTTAGATTGTGTACATTAAAATTGTATTTAAAATTAGATTTTTCTTGTCAGTTTTAACTTCTTTTTTTAGAATATTTTCGTGATATATTATTTTAAATTAATTGGATCGTATTTTCACTTTGATCCTATGGCCTAGTACTCCCTCGAAGGCATACTGCTTAACAAAGCCACCTTCAGCAAAATAGGGTATGGTTAGGGAGCTGTTCACTAGGTGGCCTTGGCAGAATTATGGATATCAACTGTCACGAAACGATTCAATGTAATAGTTTAATTTATTATAGTTACCATAAGTCGTAGACAAAGTACCATATGAAACTCAATGTAATGGGTATTAATACACGTCTAAAGTTTACTATACTAGCTCGTTCCTTTCTCGAATCGTAATTTAACATTCGTGTATTAATTCCCATCATTACATCATTGTTTTATAATGTATTATTTTATGCATTTTTATCCACCTTTTTCACGCCGGACTGCAACCAATTAAGTAAATTAATTAATAATTGTTATTGGTAGGTGCACGGGCTGAACATATCCTAATGTGATGTAAAATCTAATAACTAAGTTACACGAGGTTCATATTTGAGAGTACGCCCCTGATTTGTCAGCCACTCATCCTACACTGTTGATAGGTGCGAGAACTCGCAATAGATAACCTGTTCATTGGTAAATGCGATATTGATTTTTTGTCTTCATTGATCGGCTATTTGCATAAGAATATATAAAGCAATTAATACAACTTTTACCTAGGAATATTTCTAACTTTTAAAAATACACTGCTTCAATATCCGTATCGAAATAATTATATTCAAGTTTAAAAAATCTTGACAGAAATATTTCTGGTTCAGAAAAAAGAAGTAAAAATATAAAGAGTAAATATTGTAAAATTATATTATTGTTTATGGTTAATAAGGTCATACTCAATCACCTCTTAGTGTGATTATTGAAGTTAAAAATTCCTGGAACAGAAACAGTACACATTCCTTTGATTATGGTTTGTTAAACGCAGTCAATTACTTTAAAAGGGCCCTTTTGTTCCATATTAATAATTGTAATTTTTATAATAATAATAACAATAATATAATGATTATTATTAACCATCTAGCTTGGCAATTCTCGATAACTACTTTTGACAATTAACACAGACAAATAATACTAATAGGGTTTCGTGTAAATTTACACGGGATATAAATGATTATAAAAGTGTCAATCTATCGAGGTATAACCAAAAGTTCCGTACGTGCACAATTAGCTTTATACCAATAGTACATATTTGCTTTTAGCATTTGTTAGAAGTTGAATCAATTATGTACAATAGACCAGAGGGTATTCCCTTAATGGGGTGGTACGAGTGCGTGACATTCATTGTATTTAGGTATTACAAAAGCTTATTACATTATGTTTTTCAGAATCCCACAGGTGAACAGAGAGTGAAATGGACGCTAGTGGCAGAAATCAAGTGTTTAACCCAAATATTTAAGAGTAATTTCTATCCACTTCTCATGTTATATTGAAAGTCTGAGATGCTCATGTTAAATTGAGAGTCTCTGAGTCTCTCAAAATATCGTACGTTTAGTTTTCGACTTTTTTTATTAAGCTACTTTTACAGAGGTTAAAAGGTTTTGGAATTTCGTCAGTGAAATGGGCGTTATTAATCTATTCATATGTAAAAAGTTATTTGTTATAAAAGGCGAAATTGACCTTTACAAGAGAAATAATGTATACGATTATTAAGTTTAAATTTTTCTTTTGATTCGACATTCGAATATTTAAAAGAATATGAATCGGAGAAAATTTAGATTTTGTCTCCCCCTAATTAAATATACAAACTGGCACCCTGCAAATGCATTACGAAGGGTTGGTTCCTACCTACCTGTAACCTACGAGGTAGGTTGCTTACCTTGAACTTGTAGGTGAAGAGGGCGCCTGTGTAAGTGTGGATGGCGGGCAGCCCGAAGAGCAGCACGGACGTGAGGATGAGCATGGTGTCGCAGCGCGCCAACCCCACCAGCAAGTAGTTGATGGACGAGCGCATCTGCGGCCGTGACAGAATCACCTGCGCACCACACTCGCCGCTCACTCACCCGCCCCACCCGGCTATGAGTATACGGCACTGACAGGCCCGGAACATCAAAATGGCAATAGAGTGTCGTCGACAAAAGTAAAAAATCGTACTAAATACTTATTGGATTTAAAACATCCACTAATAAGAATGAATTAAGTTATTATTAAATTAATAAAGAATATTTCAATTCAAAAATAAATTTTGTTAATAATTTTGTTATAAATTTGTTCAAGGAGTTTTATTTTATTAATAAAGTAATAGGTTATGTTATGATGATAAATGACGATTTGTATGTAATAAGATAAATATAAAGAATAGTTTTTGAAGTATTGCAATCCTTGCATTCTAAATTCTATAGAAAACATCTAAGAGAGTCATGAAATACCAGCAGTGTATTTGACAACAATTTGTAGATTTTTAACATTCTGAAGTGATGTCTTTCTTTAAAAAAATGGTAATATTATATTACAAAAAACAATTTTTTCAGCACAATGAGAGGTGAATATGTTAAAAAATGAAAAATACACTCGTTTCTATTATTATACGTACGTATTTCGTTTTAATATATTGAATTTTGCCGAGATTTTTGCCTCATTACTTATGAATTCCAAAAGTACTTCTCATAGAATTTGAGCAAAATTAAATTTATGCTCTTACATTTCCAACCAAACTTTGTTTAAACTAGATACGATTAAATTACTCTTTATTAGTGATTAGTTTCTGGAATGAATTTAACCTTTTAAAACATGTTTAGTTATACGTTACGTAAATACGATTATTTGTCGAATCCAATGTTGATTTCCACTATGTTAAGTATGCATATATGAGTTATGTATCAAAGTTCAAAATTAACATTAAATGTATGGCATTCATACTATATTTATAATTTCTGCAGTTCATAAAACGTCATTCATGTGAAAAATTCCTTCTCGACGAAATTCCCTTGTAAATTACCACTGCCGGCGTAAAACAAAGTTTATTTATAACTTTTACTATAATTTTTTGCAGTTCAATTACTTAATAAATTGTTAAAGAATCTCTTGATCACACGTCCTCTACATCACGTATTGATTGATTTCTGAAACCGAAATATTAACTTGTAAGTTCATTGTTTTCAATAGCAAATTTGAGTCTCAAATTGAAAACTATTGTTTTGTGAATGAAGTTTTTACGCTTGAACATTTAGTACTTTTTCCATTATACTATAATATTGTTAATCTCCACCCGTCCATTGCACCATATTCCTTTGCTTAATGAATTGCACTGGGCTGGAGGAGGGCTCACCATGGAGATGACGTTGCCAAGAACGCCGAGCGCGCCGATGGCGTTGAGCAGCACGCCGTTGGTGATGAACTCGAAGAGCGGGTCCTGCTCGGCGCCGGAGCAGGACAGCGCCTCCTCTTCGTAGGCGGCCGCCTCCGTGGCCGACTCGTTCATGCCGGCGGCGGCATGCCCACGCGCGCCCTCGCCCACCCCCTCACCAGCGCTGCCCGCCGCACCACCCTGCAACACAGCCAATGGACTCTAGTACAGGGGCCAACGTGCGGTGCGGCGGCGATGGTGTAATGGTTAGCGTACTGGACTGTTGTACCCAAGTTGGCGGGTTCAAACCCGATCGAAGCCGTGGATTTTTAAGGGCGAAAAAATCCTTCGTACGCCTTCCTTCGGAGGGGAAGTAAAGCCGGCTGTCCCATGTTAGTAGATTTACTTGCATGTAAAAGATCCTCAAGCCTAAATGACGCCTCTGAGCTAAATTCAAAATCGCCTGTTTCTCGCCCAAGAAATACCTCCTTTCTCTGCTAGTTGGTGAAAGGAGCGTAGCGAAATTTGCGTGGTCAGACGGAAGAGCGGGCCTGATGGCCCGAGTCTCGCCACGTAAAATAAGGCAAATTCAATTCAATTCAATTCAATTCAACGTGGCCGACTCGTTCACGCCGGCGGCGGCATGCCTACGCGTGCCTTTCCGCGCCTGCGTCCCAATGCTGTCTGCGGCGTCAATCTACTTTACATTCATCACGCTTTTGAATACAGATCTAAGAGTAAATGTTACACGCGTCTAGGACGTGTTGTGGGGCGAAAAAGTTCAAGGTACGTGTAGAGGAAAATTACATAAAACCCAGTTACCTGCATTTATATTTGTGGCATTTGCTCCTGATATTTTAGCTACATAGGGGCATATGTTAGTGAGGGCATAGTGTTAGGAAGTTCTGAGGCAGTCACGGCGTCTTCAAGCAAAATATCTATGAGTGTGGCGTTGCCTACAAATCTTGATCGAGTGTCACACGTATAAATGGAGTTATCTCTCTTATACGCAATTGCCCAATACATTTCATTAGCAGAAAGTGATAATTTTTACCCCTCACATGTTCTACAAGTTTCTAGCATTT